AGCTCACTGCAACCCCTGCCTCTTGGGTTCAAGCGGTTCTCCTGCCTCAGCTTCCCAAGTAGCTGGGATTATAGGCATGTCCAGCTAATTTTTTGTTTTTTGTTTTTTTAGTAGAGATGGGAGTTCTCCTTGTTGGTCACGCTGGTCTCGAACTCCCGACCTCAGGTGATCTGCCCACCTCGGCCTCCCAGATGCTGGGATTACAGGCATGAGCCACTGCACCCGACCACATATGTGTATACTTTCATACCAGCTTGTAAGCTCCTGAGATCAGGTATGGTATCTATTTCTTTTAGTATATACATAATAGCTTGAGTATGCTAGTTCTTAAATAAGTTTTAAAATTCAAATTGCATCATCATTAACGTAGGCATAGTCTCCCCTCTCCCTCATATCACATCCACTGGAGTAGAAGCTTCTAAAGAAGGAAGTGGCATCTCATCATAGTATGTTACATATAAAGGCTCATTGATATCTTCTACTTAAAGCCCTGGAAGTCTTACTAGTGGTACTTCAGCCTTAAGGAGCTAATGGATTTGTGTGTGAATTAGTGTCTGTTTATCTAGGTATTGGGTTGGGCCGTGACATCCTACTGATAACATACTTTGACCTGCATACTTACTCTAATTCTGAACTATCTGACTGCATCCTGCTTCCTAAATAAAACTTATAGGCGGCTGGGTGCAATGGCTCACCTGTAATCCCAGCACTTTGTGAAGTCGAGGCGGGTGGATCACTTGATGTCAGGAGTTTGACACCAGCCCGGCCAACATGGTGAAACCCCGTCTTTACTAAAAACACAAAAATTAGCTGGGTGTGGTGGTGTGTGCCTGTAATCCCAGCTACTCAGGAGGCTGAGGCATGAGAATCACTTGCACCTGGGAAGCAGAGGTTGCATTGAGCTGAGATTGTGCCACTGTACTCCAGCCTGGGTGACAGAGTGAGACTGCATCTCAAAAACAAAAAACAAACAAAAAACTTACAGTCAGTTTACTGCCAGAAGACTTGACTTTCATTGCTGTGATACAGATGATTGAAAATTTCAGCTAGCAGTATTCCTGGATGATTAGAATTCACAGTAATGAGGTTTTTGGTAAAACAGTAGTATCAAACTAATCTATTTTCCATATTATCTAGTCCTGTCTCACTATAACTGCTATCTTAATTTCAAGATGAAAACTGTGCCTTAATTATCTTCCAGACCATCTTCCACTCTGCAAAGACATAAGCACCAAGAAATAATTCTCAGAGTACTTTCTTTCTTTCTGCAGTCATGTGTCAGTCCATGAGCTTGAACCACTTTTCCTTCCACCCTTGCAATCATGGCCCAGTGCTGGTGGACCTTTGGCTCTAATGTTCACCCCCTTCTCTTTCCATCTCGGACTTCTTAACAGGCTTACAGGATCCGCAGAATGGCAAAGGTGGAGGAGAGGCTAGAGGGGCAATGTCAGGCATGTAACCTGGAGGGGTGATTTTGTAGCTGTGGTGCATGTTTCAGACAGTGCAGAAGAAAGGTAAAAATGTTGAGGATCAAGAAAATCAGAATTAAATGTGATTCTGGGGGAGATATCTCAGACAAAGTTAGAAAGGATTACTGGGGGCCTAAAGTTTTTCAGGGTCTTTAGAAATTACTGAACTTGGCTGGGCACAGTGGCTCATGCCTGTAATCCCAGCATTTTTGGAGGCCAAGGTAGGCAGATCACTTGAGGCCAGGAGTTTGACCAACCTGGCCAATATGGCAAAACCCTGTCTCTACTAAAAATACAAAAATTAGGTGGGTGTGGTGGTGCACACCTGTAGTCCTAGCTACTCAGGAGGCTGAGGCAAGAGAATCACTTGAACCTGGGAGGCAGAGGTTGCAGTGAGATGAGATCACACCACTGCACTCCAGGCTGAGCAACAGAGCAAGACTCTGTCTCAAAAACAACAACAACAACAAAACTGAACTCATGACACAAATGGGATTTTGCCATTTGTAAATATGTATTTTAAGTGTTTTCAGCTTTTTTTTTTTCATTTGTTTCCATTTTATTTTAAAAGATATGCAGATACGACTTTTTCCTCTTTAAGTGTCTTATTTTGGGAGCACCCAGATTTTAGGGAAGAGCCTCACTATATGAGCACATGAGTTGCACATTTCTGGTTCCCTGCCCTGTGTTGGATTGCCAGTCATGTCTTCAGAAGAACCATCCTGCCTGTTGGATGCTGCAATTTTACCTTCTTGTTCTTGTCTGCTCATTCCCTACCATACTAAGCCTCTGGAGTGTGGGAATGTGCACCATTCCTAACTATATTAACTCACTACCACCCATCTGGTGTAGGTGCTCAGTACAAGTGAATCCTGAAAAAGCCTCAGGCTCTTGGATGGAGGAAAATTGGCTGCATTTGAAAGCCATACTTCAATTTCTATTGGTCATTGCTAGTATAAACTTTATTGATTTAAACAAATTTTATCTGGATCCAGTTATATTGATAAATTATTTTTAGGTTTAATAGTTTGTTAGAGTCATTTTCTAGCTTTTTAAGGTTATAATAAATAATGATTTGTCTTTTGATGTCACATGTTGTGCATTAGCAAGAACTTCGAAAAATGGGGAAGAGTAGATGTCTTTCGCTTAATTCTTGGGAGAATGTTTTTAGTATTTCGAAATTTCATATGGTGCATTGTTGGATTTTGATGTTCTGCTGTATTTAGGAAGTTTCCTTCTAATCTTATTTCTACAAGAAGCTGTGTAGTTTAGTGGTTAAGAGCACAGATTTTGTTCCCAGTGCCCTAGGTTCAAATCCAGAGTCCACCACTTTGTTAGGTGTGTGAGCCTAGGCAAATCACTTAGTTTCCTTGTATCTTGGTTCCTCCATCTATAAAATAGAGCTACCTCATAGGGTTGTGAGGTCTACATTATTTACTATGTGTAAGGTAACAATGCTGGGCATAGTGCATGGTTTCCCAATTATTATTATACTTAAGAGTTTTGGGGTTTTTTTTGTTGTTGTTTTGTTTTGTTTTTGTTTTAGAGACAAAGTCTTCCTCTGTTGCTCAGGCTGGAGTGTAGTGATGTGACCATAGCTCACCTCAACCTTGAACTCCTGGGCTCAAGGGATCCTCCTGCCTCAACCTACCCTATAGTTAGAAATACAGGCATGCACCACTGCACCTAAGTTTTTGTTTTTATTTTTATTTTTTGTACAGATGGGGGTCTTGCTCTTTTGCTCAGGCTGGTCTTGTGGTCCTGGCCTCAAGTAATCATCCTGCCTCAGCTTCCCTAAGTACTGGGAATACAGGTGTGAGCCACAGTGCCTGGCCTATACAAAGTTTTTATTAGGATTAGTTGCTGTAATCTATCTAGTTTTAAAAATACATTGTTGTAATTTTATAAATTATGTTCTTTTTTTCTTTTTGTAATTCATTTTCTTGACAAGTTTGCAAATATTTGCAATTTCCTTGTACTTTTCAAGTAAAATCAGTTTGTTCATAGTGAGTTTTGTTTGTTTTTTGTTTTTTGGGTTTTTTTTTTTTGAGACAGAGTTTCACTCTGTCACCCAGGCTGGAGTACACGTGGCACAATCTCGGCTCACTGTAACCTCCGCCTCCCAGGTTCAAGCAATTCTCCTCCCTCAGCCTCCTTAGTAGCTGGTATTACAGTGCACACCACCATACCTGGCTAATTTTTGTATTCTTAGTAGAGATGGGCTTCACCATGTTGGTCAGGCTGGTCTTGAACTGACCTCGTGATCCACCTGCCTCGGCCTCCCAAAGTGCTGGGATTACAGGCGTGAGCCACCGTGCCTGGCCTTATAGTGAGTTTTTATTAAGTACAGAAGTAGATTCAATTTGGTAATGCTTTGCTAGCTTTGTAAAATAATTTTGAAAAAGTTTTGTTTCTCTTTTATTACTACGAAGAGTTCGTATAACATGGGAATTGTTCCTTAAAGGCTTGCTTACAGTAACTGGGCCTGATTCTTTGGGTGAGGGGATTGGGAGGGATATATCTTTCGCAACTGTTTTAGTCAGTTTGAGCTGTTATAACAAAATACCATAGAGGATGGCTTAAACAACAGACATTTATTCCTGACAGTTCTGTAGGCTTTAAAGTTCAACATCAAGATGCCAGAATAGTTGAATACTGGTGAAGGCTCTCTTCCTGGTTTGCAGATGGCCCCCTTTTTCCTGTGTCCTCAAATTTCAGGGAGCAAGAGCACTGGTGCTTCTTTGACATCTTTTAAGGGCATTAGTGAGAATGAGGACCCCATTCTCATGACCTACTCCAATCCTAGTTATTTTCCAAAGGCCCTCACCCCCAAATATCATAACATTTGGGGTTAGGGCTTCATCATAAATATTCATTCCATAATATTCCACTCCTAGCCACTCTCTTCATGTCCTTACATGCAAAGTAAATTCATTCCATCCTAACAGCCTCCAAAGTTTTAACTCATTCTAGTATCAACTAACATTTAAAATCCAAAATCTCATCTAAATATCTAAATCAGATATGGGTGAGACCCAAGGTATAATTTATCCTGAGGCAAAATTTGTCTCTAGCAATGAACTTGTGAAACCAGACAAGTTATGTGCTTCCAAAATACAATGATGGGATAGGCATAGATCAGGTATTAAAATTCCAAAAGTGAGAAATTGGAAGGAAGAAAAGGATGATGAGGCTGGGTGTGATGGCTCATGCCTTTAATCCCAGCACTTTGGGAGGCTGATGTGAGAGGATTGCTTGAGTCCAGGAGTTTGAGACCAGCCTGGGCAACAAAGGGAGATCTCATTTCTATAAAAATAATTAGCCAGGCATGGTGGCTTGATCATGGGAGTTTGAGGCTACAGTGAGTGTGATCATATTGCACTCCAGCCTGGGGGAGGTTAATGATGGTCCCATGCAAGTCTAAAATTTATCAAGACAAATTTCATGAGATCTTAGGCTCATGAATAATCCTCTTTGGTCCTATACCGTCCTCTCCAGGACACCCTGGGTGGTGGTCCTGACTCTACAGATCTGCCAGGAAGGGTTCACTCCCCCATGGCTTTTGTTGGAGACCATCTGGCCTGTGGAAACTGAGGCAGTATCCCTGATGATCTCTAAATAGCCAAGAGAAGAGTCATTCTTTTCTTGTTTGGAATGGTAGACATTCACAGCCATCCTCATTCCTGTCTTTAAGACTTTAGAAACAATAATATCGAAGCTAAGGGCTTCAACATACAAATTTTGGGGATACAGTTCAGTCCATAGCAATACTTCTATTCTCCTGACCTGCAACATGTCCAGTTACTTCTAAAAGTATTTGTCATCTACTATATTAACATGCTCATTGTCAGCCTATGAAACAAGTTGACCACTCCATACATAAGGTCATAGGTAATATGACACATGCAGGCTGAGTTGTCAGCCCTGATAAGATCTAGGGACTTGCCCAAAAGTGCAGTCCCTGGAGCTACCTGGTCCAGTAACTAGGGGAGTATTCCTGATAAAGTCAAGAATTGTTGGCAGTCCCCACCTACAAGAAAGAAGCTCAATAGCTAGTAGGTCTGTTTGGCTATTGGAGACAACATGTATCATATTTGAGTATTAGTTGGCTTCCTTTAGTTAAAATTACCCACAACACAGCCACCTCTGAATGGTGCCCTCAACAACAGCAGACTCTAGGGGCCTATCATGCATTAACATGGGCTTGCCATTAATGTAGGCCCATGGAACTGTGGGTCTCACTGACTCCTATCCATACAGATTGGAGACTGTGGCAACAAGAGGCTGCTATCAGGGTGCACCAGGCCCTTGGGTTTTGGCCATATAAATTGCCCAAGATTTTTGCCATATATATTCCCTTTGAATGGCAGCTGCTAGCCTGCTATTGGGTTCTAATGGAAACAGAACGCTTGACCACTAAAGCACTGTATGTGACCTTAAGACCTGAGCTGCCCATCTCATGCAGGTATTGTTAAAGAAAAATAAAAACGGAAACTACAGTTTAGAAATACCCCAAGGCTGACCACCTGCAACTGTGTAACCAAAACAAATCATTCTGATTTCCCTGAAATGCTGTTCTCTAATCATAAATGAAATGCGACATGTAAGCTTTACATCCTTGTCAGCATGATTCACTGAAATTAAACCAATCATCTATAAAACAATAAGCTTAAACAGGTCAACTTTCCCTAAAAAGAATGTGTAACAGCCAATTATAAAAAGGTCAAAATATTCCCCCCTTTATGCATTATAAACTGTGTTGTAAATGCTTGTAAGATGAGTTTCTTACCACTTGATTTGAGTCTTCTAGATTGTGGTCTGTACTTCTTGTTTGAACAATAAACTTTTAATTTTTTCTTAACTTTATCTGATTTTATTTTTTTTTCACAGTGCTCACTAATCCTACTAATAAAACACAACAAGTTCAGCCAACTACCATCATTAAATGAAAATGTTACGTATAAGATGGAGCCTGATTGGGATCCCAGGGGGGTCTGCCAACTCCATGAAGTAACTGTCTTGCCAGAGCAGGCTGAACAACCCATAGGGGATGTTCCCTTAGCTGTGTGCACCCCATGGTTCAAAGATGTTTTGGCTGATGGTGAGTTGGCTTACTGAGGGATTTGTGAAACTCAAAGCTGATAAAACGCTAATGGTCTGCTGTGGGCATCCATCTTGCTATGGATTGAGTGGTTTTGTTGCCTCCAAAACACTTGTTAAAACGTAATCCCCAGCTGGGCGCAGTGCTGCATGCTTGTAGTCCCAGCTACTCAGGAAGCTGAGGTGGGAGAATTGCAAAGACCATGTGGCAGCAAGCGAGTATTAGCAGGTTTTAGGCCTTTTAAGGCTTGTGCAAGGATGGGATATTGATGCTGGGCAGGATAGGGGTGGTTAGGTTTTAAAGGGATGATGAGGGGCAAGTAGCCTGTAGCAAGGGATGGGGAGGTGGTATTTCATACCTTAGGGTTAAGGTGGGATGACGTAAGGGGAGCTGTTGAGGGAGGTATGGGTTCAGGAAGGAGGGCGGCAATGAAGTGTGGCGTAGTCCAGGAATAGTTACAGAGGCACAGTCTTGTTAAGATATTCATGGCCTAAGGGGGAACTGGTCAGGTGAGGATGATTAGGAAAGGATGTGGAAAGGAGTGCTGGCCTAATTGACACCAGACTTGGGGAGTTTTGACAGGCCTGGAAGCCTTGTCATTAATTCCTACAACTGTTATGGAGGCCAAGGAGGCAGGTCCTTGAAAAGAAGGCAGCGTGGAGTGGGTGGCCTCCGTATTAAGAAGGGGATGGACTTACGTTCCACCATAAGAGTTACCTGAAGCTTGGTGTCCGTGATGATCTAAGGGGCCTCTGAGATGTTTGGGCAGCATCAGTCTTTAGCCACCAGGCTGAGGAAATCTGGGAAGGAGTCAGCCAGGCAGCCTTGGGTTTGAGCTCCAGGAGCTCTGGGAATGGTGATGTGAGTCAGGCAGTCCAACTTCCAGTGGGAGCCTGCACAGATGGGGCACCACTTAGGACTAATCTCGGGCTATGGGCATTCCTTGGCCTAGTGGTCATTTTTCTGACACTTGAAATAAGGTCATGGAGGGGCGGCTGGACGTTGTGATCTGGACATTCTGAAGTTCTTTTGGGCTGGTGGAGCAGCAGGGGTTTGTCTTACGGCAGAGGCAAGGATCTGTAGTTCTGAGATGTGCTGCCACTGGACAGCCTCTTCCCTATTAATGAACACCTTGAAGGCAAGGTTAATTAGGTCCTGTTGTGGGGTTTGAGGGCCAGATTCTAACTTTTGGAGCTTTATTCTTGTGTCAGGGGCTGATTGAGTGATAAAATGCATGTTAAGAATAAGGTGTTCTTCTTGTCCTTCAGGGTTTAATGCTGTGTATCACCTGAGAGTGGAAGCTAGACGGGCCATAAACTGAGCTGGATTCTCAACCTTGTTTTGAGTGGTCTCTTTTAGTTGTCATAGTTGATGGCTTTATATGCAGCCTGCTGAATCTCCTCAACAAGACAAGAAATCATGTAGTCTCGCCTGACTATACCAGGGGACCCTGCCTCATAGTCCCATGGAGGGTCTTCACAGGGGACTGCTCTGGCACCTTCCTGAAGGTCAGGCTCAAGACACTGGCAATCTTCAGCATGAGACTGAGCCAGGGTCCAAACCTGCTCCCATTTTTCAGGAGTGAGAGTAGAAGTGAGGATGACATTTAAGTCACTCCAGGTGAGATTATAAGACTGGGTTAAGTATTGAAACTCTTGTATATATTTGATGGGGTCTGATGGGAAAGAGCCTAGGCGCTGACTGATTTGGGCAAGGTCAGACACAGAGAAAGGGATGTGTACCCAGACTGTTCCTTTGGCTTCAGCCACTGCTTGAAGGGGAAATTGTTGGACATGGGTGGGGAAATTAGCCGAGGGACTAAATTGTAAGCCAGATCGGATATGAGGTAAGGTGGTGATAGGAGGGGCATAAGGAGGCAGGTTGTGGACAGAAGAGTTAGGCTCTGGGGGAGGATTAGGACCTGGTTCAGACAGGCTGGGAGGAAAAAGATCAGGACTGATGAACAAGGAGGATTCAGTGTCAGCGGCAGGGTGTGAAGGAGTAGAAGGAAAGGAGAGGAGGAGAATTTGGAATGAGTCGCATTGGGAACAGTTCAGGCAGGGAGCAGGGACTGAAGTGTAAAAAATGCTTGGACGTATGGCACCTCAGACCTTTTGCCCATTTTATGACAAAAATTGTCTAAGTCCCACAAAATAGAAAAATTGAAAATGCCATTATCTGGCCACTGGGAATGATTGTCTAATTTATATTGGGGCCAGGTTGTATTACAGAATAAAAAGACATTTAGACTTCAGATTAGATGAAAGTTGAAGGGGTTTCAGGTTTTTGAGGACACAGGCGAGGAGAGAAGAGGGAGGGATGGAGGGCGGAAGGTTGCCCATGATAAAGGAGAGGAGTTTGAGGAGAAGATAGAGCCAAGGAGGAGAGCAACCACTAGGTTCCTCAGCGGGCGTCCTCAGCTGGGGTCCTTTGGCTGTACAGCTGGTGAATGGCCAAGGCAGGCATCCCTGCTGTTGACCAGACACCAAGGGAAGACTGTCTTCCCGAGAAAAGTCCATGACTAATGTTGGATTTTTGATACACGAGTAGGAGGGACCCTATTTCAGAATATTTGTCTCTATTTCAGAAAGTGTATTTCAGAACATCTGTCTCTATTTCAGAAAGGAAAGGTTTGAAAACAAATGGAGATTGCTTTGTTACACCAGAGCAAGTTTAAACAGAAGCACCATGCTCTGAGTTTGTTGAGAGTCCACTTTTAATGGCTGGCATCCAGTAGTCAGCTGGAGCTCAAACCTCTCGGCCCAGAACAAAGGGCAGTCAGCATTATTATATCAGTTTAGGGTCAGGGGGTGGTAAGCAGATTATTACAGAAGCAGAAGGAGCAGGTTAGGGAAAGGGGGTAGGTGCCTAATAACAAAATTCTATTTAAAGTTGGGGGAGGTAAACAGATTATTACAGAAGCAGAAGGAGCAGATTAGGGGAAGGGGGAAGTGCCTAACAACAAAATTCTATTTAAAGTTGTTTTTTACTCAGGATGTGGGGTAGGCAGTTACACAGTTGCAGGTACAGGATGTATGGGCCAGTGGGCCCTGTTTCTCAGAAAATTGGTTACAAAGATGCCAGGTGTCTCAAACCACAAGCTCTCGGAACAGAATGCCCTACATAGCTTACGGTGGGCAAAATGGAGTTGGCAGGATTGTTCAAAATGTATTCATCACAGCCAAGCTAGAGTATTTCAGCTTACCCAATCCGAAGACAAAGGGGTTCTACAGGCCAGTCTGAGGTACTGAAGACATGGGAAGGCTCTTCAAGGAGGGAGAGCAGGGGTAGGGGACAGATCTCTCTGAGGAGTTTCCCTATCCTGGGTTTCGGCACCAAAATGTTAAGCACACATCCAATTGAAGAGACAACCTAAACGGGCTTTGTGTGAGCAACAAGGCTGTTTATTCACTCGGGTGCAAGTGGGCTGAGTCCAAAGAGGGAATCAGCATGGAGGTGTGGGGCAGAGCAGGTTTCATAGGCTGGGGTAGCAAGTGGAAAGTTACAGCTTGGAGTTCGTCGTCGTTGACTCAGAAGATTGATCAATCAATCTTGAATCAATCAATCCTGAAGCAGGATCCCATTGTTTTTCTTGTGGTTTTCCCGTTGCTTCAGACCTTCTACTACCAGGAAGCCATCTGAAGGCATACATGTCAGTTACAGAGTTCATAATAGCTTGGCAGTAGTGCTGCCATGTTTGGGGGACCTAACATGTAATATATTTCGAATGGCCATAATTACACATAATTTAACTGTTTAAATATTTGTTTTATGTTTTTTTTTCTAGGAGAGAACACTATTCCAGTGGATCACAGTATCACCATGCTCAGATACATTGCTGTATTTTATTTTCATCCTAATATTTCAATCCCCCTCCCCCAAACTACAGAGGAGTTGAGTTTGAGGCCAGAAAAGGGGTGAAAATCCTACCTGCCAATTTGTTTGCCCACAGCCGATTCTCAGTTTTAACATCTTGTCTCTTTTCTCAAGTCACATTCCTGATCCCCATCCCAGCACCCCAATTTTTTCTTCCCTATTTCAAAATAAGAGGAAAAAAAATTAAGGGGGAAATTTCCATCTTCTATTTGAAAGGCAGAATCCTGATGCACTTTAAATTCCAAAACAAAGAAGCAAATGAACATAAAATCCTTTAGTATGTGCTTTTTACATGTAGCAGGGAATCAGGGTAAAGGAATAATTATCTACTCCCAGGTTCTCAAATGTTGGAATCATCTGGGGATTTTAAAATCTGGGCTTGTTAGTGTCTCACCCACAAAGATTTGGATTAAATTTATATGAGGTATGGACTTTTTAAAAGCTCTAAGAAGGATTCTAATCTGCAGCAAAGTTAAGAACCACTGATTTGCATGCACTGTCCTTTGCTGCTCCAAGTGTGGTCCAGGAACTGCAACATGGGTACACCTGCGAGTTTGTTAAAAATATTTGTTGATCCCTCCCCAGACCTCCTGAATTTGAATCTACAGTTCAGCCAGATCCCAAGTGATTTGTATTCATATGCACATGAAAATTGAAGAATCTTACCTAGGGCTTTTACCAAGTAAATGGCCCGAATTTAAAAGAGTACAGTGTTCAGGAAGTATAGCCAGCAAGAATATGCCTCCTATCAGAAAAGTGAAGAAACCTCATGGTTATAGGCTCGAGTGCGTGCCATGGCACTCAGAGAAATCAGGTGTTAGCAGAACTTTGAGATTCAAGAAGCTGTATAGGACTTAAATTCAGAGCTGCAGTCCCAGTGGCTGCTCCCCAAACTTTACAAGTGCCATTGAAGCCAATCTGGTTGATCTTTTTGATCACACTAAATGTGCTATCAGTGCTAACCACCTATCACATTGGGAAACATCCAGTAAAAGTACATCCC